ACTCTCTCACACACACACACACACACACACACACACACACACACACACACACACACAACAACACACACACACACACACACAAACACACACACACAACACATACTCATTTACTCACACACACACACACACGCACACACGCACACACACACACGCACACACACACACACACACACACACACACACACACACACACGCGCGCGCGCGCGCGCGCGCGCATATATTATATACAAACACACACACTTATGTTTACATTATATCTATATTTATCTATTTGTCTCTATATGTATTCATATATATAAATATATATATATATATGTATGTATGTGTGTGTATGTACTTTATATGTTTATATTAAGTTTTCATGTACAAATATATATTTCTATTCAATTTTGAATTTACTATTATGTGGAAATTTTCAAAATAGTAATTAGTATTAATCAATTAATTAATCCTTTAAAATTTTCTATCAGTCGACATGACCATGAAATTTAACGTTAATAATGTCTGGTATTGCCGCCACCACTCGAGATTCTGGACTTTCAAGAAATCCCGAGAAAGCCCCATTTTTACCTACCTAATTTCAAAATGGGTAACATGACTTGATGGTTTTAAGGTTCATGGGGTAGACTGAATTAATTCCTGTTTAGTGTGTGTCGAGGCATACAATTGGCATAGGGATCTTAACCAATAACATCTTACTCTATAAAAATGATTATGAATAAATAGCATATCACAAGGTAAATCTCAAAAATGAACAATAAAAACATGTAATATTCTCTCTTAACGAACGTAATTGAATATTAAGCTAATCTCTATATTCCACCTTCCCTTTACCTAGTAATTGTAAATCAATATCCATTATTATAAACATAATGAAAACAAACGTGAGACTAAATCGAGACAGTCAAACCCATTCCACCGGTAATTTTCCGTTATTCACTTAATCGATCCTTACCTTCTAACCTCTACAATTTCCTTTCTTACAACTCTACTCTGGTCCATTGTTCCCTTTACAATTTATAACCTGATACAGTGAGAATTATCTATATATATCCGTTACTATATCCACGGCCCTTTAAAAAATTATAAAACGAAATTTCTTCTAACGACAAAGCTAGTCGTGGCGTGCGGTGTTGCCAGACTTTCTCCAACGTTGCTTCCTCTTTCGTTCAGGGTGAAGCCAAGACATGTCTAAGTTATCACAATGCAAAACATACACATTCACAATTATATCAATCTAAAAGCATTTTAAGCAGGGGAGCGCTTGGCAAGAATTCTTGCCAAGCGCTGTACCGTTCCCTGCTTTAAACGCTTTCCTAGGCAGGCAGGCCCTCTTCAGTGATGCCAGACATGTGGAAATGTCTGATTATAAAGTACAATCATAACAGTCCTTGATGAGCATAGAAATATCAAAATAACACACGAAATATATAATACTTGGGTTTTAAAAAGCAATATTCCCACCAACAATCGGAAAGAGATAACTTACGCATAAGAGGGTGGAGTTTATTTCACCTGCGGTTGGTAACAGTTTGAGCGCGCAATTCAAAACAACTGACAAGCTAGCGCCGTATCAAGATGGCAGAGAAGTAAATAAATCTACCCAAACAAAAAGGCGCTATATTTTCTCCTATATTCACATAAAGTGCCTCTAAAACATGACACACACTTCCGATTGACAGCCTTTCATTCTGACGCGTTATCAAAACAAATGAATATCCCTGAATAAAATATAGGCCTACCCATTCCATATATCCGATCTTATGAGGTTAAATATAACAAATCATCGAATATAATATCAACAGAAGAATATTGCGAGAATTTCTCAGACTTTTTCACTTGGAATATTCTTTATTTCATAGAATAGCAGATATATTCTCATTTAGAAAGACGAGAAGTTTAGGAATAAGAGGAAAATGATTCGTGTTATAATCATAAATTATTCATAAGTAAAACTTTTTATTCCCATAATCTCCATTATCTCCTTTTGTTTTCAGTTAAATTTCTTTAAATATGATTTTAAGAAATTACAGAATCAGATACGTGAAAAACTATTTATCTGATAGATATTAAGCGGAGTTCCTGGCCAACGCCGGATTCGAAGGATCGTGACCAGTACGGTACGCGACCGACGCCGTTGCCATGGTGACGGTACCGCTTGACTTAGCAAGCGCAAGTCAAGCCATCTACGGAGGTCGCTTAAGAGCATGCTTTTGTCGCTTGATTTCCAACTTTTGCTTAAAATAATTATCACAATAACATTACACAATTCACAATATATATATTATTAATTATTATTTATATTATGATGATTATTATTATTATTATTATTATTATCATTATTATTGTTGTTGCTGTTGTTGTTTTTCTCATAATTTTCAGTATTATCCTCACTATCATTCTCATTATTCTCACTACCATAGGTTCTGAACGGACGAAAGAAAGAAAGGATAGTAAGTAAACGAGACGTAAGGAAGAACAGATGTTCAGAGCGAACACTTGTTTTGATAAGGATATGGGGATAAACATGTGACAATACGTGTGCCGGATTATATAGCGTTTTTATCACGATTTCTCTCACTTCCATTCTCACCGTCATTCTCATTATTATGCTCACTACCATTCTCACTATTATACTCTACTATTTCTACTTTCTCACTATTGTTTTCTACTATTTTTACTTTCTCACTATTATTCTCTATTATTGTTATCATCATTCTCACTATTATTCTCTTCTTACTATCATTCTCACTATTTTTCTCTTCTTACTATCATTCTCTACTATTTTTACTATTATTCTCACTATTATTCTTTTCTTACTATCATTCTCACTATTAGTCTCTTCTTACTATCACTCACTATTATTCTCATAATTCTTCTCACTATCATTCTTTACTCACTATTATTCTCTACTATTTTTTACTATTATTCTCACTATTATTCTCTTCTTACTATCATTCTCATAATTTTTCTCACTATTAGTCTCTCTTATTCTTGTGATTAGCTTCAGTATCATTCTCACTATCATTCTTGCTATCAATCTCAGTATGATTTTCACTATCATTCTCATTCAAATTCTTATCTTTATCATTAATAATATATTATTGTCATTATTGATATTGTTCTTGTTATTACTGGTACTTTTATATTTATCATTATTGATATTTTTTTTAACATCTTTATCATTATTATCAATATTAATATTATTATCATTACTATTATTATCATTATTGCTATTATCAAAATCACTGTTAATATCATGAACTTTATTATCATCCTTAGTATTATCATTATCATTATTTTCATCATCACTGTTGTAATTATTGTCATTTTATTATAATACTGAAGGAAATAATAATAATAACAATAATATTTATTATCATTACCAACTTTACTATTACTATTATTATTTCTATTATTACCATCATTATGATTTTTATCTTTATAATTATTAATATCATTATCGCTGTTATTTCATCACTATCATCTTGATCATCCTCGTCTTCATCGTCAATCATCATCATCATCATCAACAATGCTTTTATTATTACTATAATCATTATTTCATCATTTTTTGTGAATAAGACGCAAATTTCCCATTATGTATAAAGAAGGTTGATAGACATTGTGGTAAATAAATTATCGTATTAACAACTAATTCATGATGTTTACGCCCAGCACAAAAGAACAGATTTGAGGACACTGAATCTACCGTCTATAACACATCTAGAATAGTTAATGGTTAGAACAAATACATTCGCTAGCCATTAAAGGTCATTTTGCACTAACGAAAGAAAGAAAAGAGAGAGAGGAAAGATATTAAGTAAACGAGATGGATAGGGATGAAAGCTAAACAAATGTTCAGGGCGAACACTTTTTTTTTTTTTTTTTCACGAGGATATAGAGCAGGAGTGGCAGCCTGTCGATCGCAAACCTGTTTTCAGTCGATCACTCTACTTTACCTGTTAATATTTCGTCCTTCAGAAGTTGTCATGCAAATAGCTGCGATAGCATATCCAAGTACGCATGCTGCTCGGATTATTATATTTCTCTTTTTTTCTGGAGTTATGTTTATACCTATAATGATGGCCATGTCTGAACAACATACACTTATTTATAAAGACAGAATACTGGTGATATTATATATATATATATATATATATATATATATATATATATATATATATATATATATATACATATATATATGTATACATACATATATATATATATATATATATATTATATATATATATATATATATATATATATATATATGTGTGTGTGTGTGTGTGTGTGTGTGTGTGTGTGTGTGTGTGTGTGTGTGTGTGTGTGTGTGTGTGTGTGTGTGTATCTCATTCATACCTTTTCTACATTTGTCAACATGGATACATTTCATATATGTATATATAATATATATATATATATATATATATATATATATATAATATATATTATATAAATAAATAAATATATATATAATATAATATTATATATATATATATATATATATATATATATATATAAATATATATATATATGTATCAGGGTGGCCAACCAGTCGATCGCGATCGACTGGTCGAACACAAGCCTGTTTTAAGGCTGGTAGATCATATCACTTCATTTTCTTTGGCAACTTTGCGTCGCGAATCTTAAGGGTGATGTTGCTCCTTGTAAAATCTAATGCATATATATATATATATATATATATTATATATAATATATATAATATATATATATATATATATATATATATATATATATATATATATACAAACACTTAGCCCATGAACGATAAAAGATTTGGTTTTCTATTTTCGATTATCTTCTAGTGACACAGACCAAGAGATATCAACTTGCAAGTTTAAAGACCAAGTTTATTGATAGAAACAAAAGAGCGATGAAGCTTCGTATTTCTTTCCCGAGCCTCATTTTAAACAGTGTGGCCTTGGAGTGTCATAGATTTACCAGCGATATATGTTACTATGGCAACTCTACCG